GTGTTGAGAGTGGAGCATGAGTGAGTGTTGGGATGTACTTGAGTATGTGATTGATGATCATGAAAGTGGAGGATAAGTCTACTTACTGTACCTCATAAATCTTGGTTTTATCTGTGGATATGTTCTTCCTTTTGCCTTGTGTGCATTGGGAAGATAGTCTATAGGGAAGACTACAAATGTCCTATAGGGGAGGCTACATATGGGTTGTAGGAGCAGCTATAGTCAGTAAGGTAAGGTACATGAGTGAGACTAACTATTTCCATTATGATATTATGGTACAATGATGCTCATGGTGTTGTTCATGATTGGGATAGTCATGATGGTAGTGTATCTATGATGATGATCATGGTACTTGAGATGCTCTAGGTTATGTTATGTTGATAGTAGTGTTAATAGGGTTAAATATGTTTTTAGTCCCTTGACTATCACGCTATTTTGGGTTTAGTCCATATTCGAAAGTTTTGTTCATTTTAGTCATTGTAGTTTTGAAACTATTATAAATAGTCCATAATATTAGATGGCGTTAACTTTTGTTTGACGTGGCTAATGGTGAGCCCACGTCTGGTGCCAGGTTCCTTTTTATTGATTTTTTTCATTTTAGAAATAATATTCAATATGTTGTTGTCTTCAAGGAGTAAACTGGAATCAGACGCACTGTTCCACCCATAAAGTCAAAGCCAAAACAACACACAAAGACACACAACATCTTCGTCAATTACTGTTTAAGCCTTGTCTGAAAAAAACAGAGTTGTCTTTCTCAGACCATGCCAAGATAACCACTATCGTAATTTCCTACAAAATTCAAAACCCCACCCAAAACATCAACTTATTCATACTCTTTCTTTCTTCTTTCTTTCTCTATTTCTTTTCCTAGAAAATTTATTCTTTTCCCATCCCCGGATCTGAAACTTCTGCAAGTTCTTATATTTCGCCTCAAACATTTTCTAGGTTCTTAAAATTGCCATCAGTTTATTGAAGACAATACCATATTGAATCCCTCGAGTGTGTTTCGTAAACAATGGTTCCAATACAATGGTTGAAGTAAACCTACTTTTCCCCAATTGAAAAAAAGTAAGTTATGAACCCTAATTGCTAATATGATTTTATAAACCTCACGTGCCAATGACTTAATCTCATGAATATAAAGAAAAGAAAACGTGGCAGAGAATAAACTCATACATGGCAACAAACGTGGGCTAGCCGTTAACCACATCAAACAAAAGTTAACGCCATCCAAAATTAGGGACTATTTATAACAGTTTCAAAACTACGAGGACTAAAATGAACAAAACTTTCGAGTAGGGACTAAACCCAAAATCGCGTGATAGTTAAGGGACTAAAAACATATTTAACTCGTGTTAATATAATGGTTATAGTAAATAGTTAGCATGAATGCTAAAGCGTGGATAGACCAAGGGTCTATGTATGAGATGTTAGTGATGACATCAAGGGTAAGAGATCAATGATCGATAATCGAAGTTCAAGGATCGAGTATTTCAGTATGATTGAATTGTTTATGTCAGAGGATTAGGAATCCTATTATTATTACTATTATGTATGAGGTGTTTGATTATGGTTGATATAATCAAAATGTATGTATCTTATTATGTGTTTGATTATGGTTGATATAATCAGTATGTATGTATCTTGTTGTTATGATTGTTTTATCAGTATCTTACCCCATACATGTTTGTGTTTGTGTTTGTGTTTGTGAATAAAATTATTGGCGATGATCGTACAATGTGTTATACGTGAATAGATGATATTGCATATGTTCTAGAGGCATGTACACTCAAAATAAAATGAAGAAAAACCTTGAGATTTAATTAAAACTATTTTTTTCACAAAGACAATATAATTGAAGTGCATAAAGAAAATAATGAATTTAAAAAACCAGAAAAAAAACACTTGTCGAACAAAAGTGTTTAAAGAAAATGAAAACAAAAAAAAAATGACCAAAATACAAATAAAAAGTATTGGTGTTACCATATAAAAATGTTTTAAGAATTTTTACACACAAATACAAATATATATATATATATATATATATATATATATATTATATAGATGGAAGTTTATTATTAAATTCACTTTATCCTTTCAATAATTATTTCGTAATCGTAAATAAATAATATTTTTTTCATCTAATTTTTACTTATTTTTAAGTTTAAATAATCCTTCAAAAATTATCTTTCAATTTTACCTCTTTAGTAATTACTATTTTAAATTCAAATAATTATTCATGATAAAAAAATAAGAAAATATAAAATTATTTATTTTAGTTTTATTTACAAAAAAATATTTATAATATGTTTATATTTTTTGAATTATTATATATATTTTATAATTTAATAAAAAAAATTTCACAAAAGAAAAGGTAGATATAGGGAGAAGAAATAAAAAGGCCTATTTGTGACGTATTATTTTCTTAATAAATTACTAAAAAGAGTAATGATACTTCTTTGGGTGTTGCTCCCTCCACCTCCCCTTTACTATTTTGCTCTTCAGTAAAATTTTATTTTTAGGATTAATATTTTTGAATTTTTACCCACTCCCAATTCATTTCACTAATGACCTATTACTAATCCCCTACATGAATTTACGAGCAAGAAGCTTTTCTTAACGTTGGACTTCTTCCTCTCTTTGTTTCGCTGTGAGAATGCAGTGTAGTTTCATTCGGTGGTATACTTAGTGAGAGGTTGCAAAGGTTGATGATGGTGGAAAGAATTGATCAAGCGATGTTAGTCTTAGTGGTGTGCTGGTGCGTCTAGTGGTGCTTCCTCCAGGTGCGTAATTAATCCTAGAATAAACCCTAAAATAGAAATGTAAAGTATAATCGGAGATGAGCATCCTTTAGCGGATGTCAGCATCCGTTTAAAGTTTACATTTTTATTTTAGGTTTTGTTTTATTAGTTTATTCTTTTATATTAATTTTGGAGATATTTTAATAATTTAATTTAAATGTTGTGATTTATTATTTTTGAATATATTTTTGATGTATATTAATAATGTATATTTATATTAGTTTATATTTATATTTTTGTATTTTGCACATTATATATAATTAGTTTTTAAATTTAATGTTTTTGTAAAATATATATTTTTTATATATGATTTTTGTATTCTTTAATTGTTTAACAATTTTATAATTATATAAAAAATTACTTATTACTTTATTTATATGAAATATATAATTTAATTATATTAATATTTTTATATTTGTTTGATTAATTATTAATTATGTTAATAAGGTTCGTTATAATTTTATAGGTGATTACTATTTACAATGGATGAATATCTTCATATGGATTCTCAAATTGGTTGTAATTTGAAATCCGATTTCTCTTCATTAATTAGCGAAGTTGTAGAGGGAGATTTAACAAATAAATTTACCACAAATGAAATATTTCGTTCACAGGAACACTTAATTCAATGGGTAAGAGGGATGACTTATGATTTAGGATTTTTTGTGGTAATAGTAAGATATGACATAGCTACTAGTGTATGGAGAAGAAAAACGTTCGTCATACTTGGATGTGAAAGAGGGGGAAAATATCGAAAATACAAAGTCGATGCGGTGCCTAGTGTATACGACACTCGTAAATGTGAGTGTCCGTTTAGATTAAAGGGTAAACCATGTTCAGATGGGGCCGGATGGGTGTTGAAGGTGATGTATGAACATCACAACCATGAGTTGGCTGAAACTTTAGTTGGTCACCCTTATGCTGGCAGGTTAAATATGAGTGAGCAGTCATTACTGGTTGATATGAAAAAGAGTAAAGTTACACCTGTAAATATTTTATTAACACTCAAACAAAATAATGATCGAAATGTTACATAGATTAAACAAATCTAAAACGCAAGGCAAGCGTATAAACGATCATTAAGAGGGTCCAGAACTGAACTACAACAACTTATGATGTTGTTGGATCGGGATAAGTACATTCACTAGAGTAGGCATGTTGATGATTCAGAGGTTGTTACGGACCTGTTTTGAACACATCTTGATGCAGTCAAATTGTTAAACTCATTTAATGTTGTATTTTTGATGGATTCCACATATAAAACAAATAGATATAGACTTCTGTTGCTTGAGATTGTGGGTATGACGTCTACATGGTTAACCTTCTCAACCTCATTTGCTTTCTTGTCTACTAAAAGGCAGAGTAATTTCACATGGGCTTTGGAAAAGTTGAAAGGTTTATTTTTAACATCTATTGCTGGTCCTAAAGTCATTGTCATTGACCGAGACTTGGCTTTGATGAATGTCATTGCAAATGTATTTCCTAAGTCATATCAGATGTTATGTCACTTCCACATCCTTAAAAATGTTAAAGCTAAATGCAAAATGTTAGTTCATTCTACTGAGGTTTGGGATGTGTTGATGGATGCATGGGAAAATATGATGGATTGTGCTTATGAAAGCTTGTTTGCTGAGTATGTGAATGGTCTTCAATACGCGAGCAATTCATGGTCTTTGTTTTTTGAATATGTGAATCAGACTTGGATTATTTTGTACTGTACATACTTTGTAAAGTTCTGGACGAACGGAGTAATGAATTTAGGGAACATAACCACAAATAGGTATGTTGTAATGATATTTTATTTATTTGTTTTGTAGATAAATATTTATTTGCACTTGTTGATGGTCTTTTTTTTGTTTCAAGGCTAAATGTGCTCATTGGAGACTGAAGAAAGTTCTGGGCAATAGTATGGGTGATTTGTGTTCTTGTTGGGATAATATTCATAACATCGTTATCCTACAACACAACAAGATTAAAGCATCATTTGAAAGTAGTCTGTTGCTCACGAGTGACCATTTTAAAGGCTACAGATATAGAAAACTTATTGTGCATGTCTCTCGATATGCATTGGATCTCATTGCTAAGGAATTGGAAATAATGTAGCAGATAGGATTGAACTCCTTAAAGTGTGGATGCGTATTGAGACGTACATTTGGTGTCCCCTGTGCATGTGAATTAGCACGGTATGATCCTAGGATGATCCCTGTGGGTGAATTTCATATCATGTGGCGAAGATTGCAATTCTCAAATGTTGAATTAAATGAAACCGAGCCCCAGTTATCCATTAAAGATGAGTTGAAAAAAGTAGAAGAACGATTCAATGAGGTTGACATTGGCGGTAAAGTCACCATCAAGCAGAAGTTACTTGACATTGTTTGTCCTACATTGACATCAATGGTCTCTCCATTATATAAAGTCAAGAGAAAGGGTGCACAAAAAAGTAAAGTTCAACGAAGAGAAAGGTCTACTACGCGGGATCCATCATATTTTGAGCATGTGGACGCCTTTCATTCAACCATAGAATCTTCATCTGTGAGAAGTAAATTACAATCAAAGCCAAAAGCAGTAAAGAAAAGGAGAGTGCCAATGATAGACCAGTTTCATTCTACTACTCACCATTTCATTGTGGACGTTGTTGATGTTGTGGTTGATGGTCACTGTGGATATAGATGCATTGTTGCGTTGTTGGGACTCAGAGAAGATTCATGGCCCGTTATCAGGAATGAGTTGTACAAAGAACTTAGTGAATGGTGTGATGAATACGCAAGCCTAGTAGGAGGCTTTGATGGACTAGAAGAACTGAGGAACTCTTTGTTGGTTCAGTCACTGTCAGCGGTAAGTGTTCCCGTTTTATGTATTTTATTTATTACATTTATTTTTTCTAACAACTTGTTTTATTCATAACATGCTAAAAGGAACAAGTGGATGACATTACAAGACATTGGTTATACAATTGCTAACCGATATAACGTTATTTTAGTGTGTATGTCATACTCTCAAAATTATACTATTTTCCCACTACGTTCCGCACCACCTTCTAATATAACTCAACATCGCTTAATTTGTATAGGACATGTTCATGGATGTCATATTGTGCAGGTAAATGAATTTATTTATGATTTCATTTTAAAATTACTTATCACTCAATTAATTATTGTAATTTGTATAATGCAGGTTAAGCTACAAGAAGGTTATCCATTGCCCATGGTGAATATCATGTCCTCAACCTACTGTTATCCTGAGGCACGAGCATGATCATCTATTTATACTAGTAGGATGCAAGCATTTACACAGTTGATGGGTGTAACAACATCCTATGTTGACTTAGGTGATTCGTGATATTTATATTACGTATGAAGATGTAAAAATACCCTATTATTTTTTTTTATTTAAGTACTTATTCTTAGTATTCGTGATATTTATATTATTAGTATTCGTGATATTTATGTATTATTTATTTATATATGAAGATATTTATATTATCAGTATTCGTGATATTTATATTAGTTGTTGTTAATTAAGTACTTATTTTTTTTCCACTTAAACATATAAATATTTGATCATCTATATAACCAATATAAAAGAACATGTAACTCAAAATGAAAACATTAAAATTTTAAGAAATTATAAATTTCTAATACAAATACAAAGGAAATATAAAGTCAAATAATACATAATGAGAAAAAGGAAATATAAAGTCATGTAATACGTAATAAAAAAATGAAATACAAAGTCTTATCAATTAGACGTCGACCGTCTACCACGCACATGCCTCTACCCTCTAATAGTTGGGGAATATTCGTCGATCCCCTCATTAGCAATTGAAGCAGGTCCACTGACACCTGATGTGCAACAATACCCTCGGTCACATGACGACACGATATCAAGGACTGAAACATTCTCGCCATTCGCCTAAATCTAGCATGCATTATAATTATATCAAACAATTAAATAAACAAGGTGAAGAAAATTTAATAATATAAGCAATGAAAAATAACATACCAGGGCGCCAGATGATGAAGGTGGAGACGGTCTACGATGGGGTCGCGCCTCCTGTGGAACATCAGGGTGTTGTCTAGGTGCAAGTGCCAGTCGCGTGTCATCTATAACAACAATAATATAAGGATGCGAAACCCTCTTGAACCGCTAATGTACCCATCGACACAATGAGAAGGGGATGCTGCATGTCTGACATTACTCACAACGTGAGCTCTAAAGTGCAACCAAAAATGATCAATGGCCACAAAATCTGCATCTGGAACCATAGTAGGTGATCATGGAATGTCTTGCTGAAACCCAAATTGCCTCAACACACGCTCAAGCAAATGACGGAAAAGGGTGTCACCAATCCGAATCCATCCAGAATACATACAGATGCTGAAGAATGGTCGAATGCCCCAATGCCCCTCATACGGATGCCATACAACTCCACTGTATGTCAGTGCATCCAACTGTGACCGAATCTCCACGAGAGTGGAACTCTACTAGGGCTCTGTTACCTGAGTGCATATTTATGCCCACATTTATGCTTTAAAATTCAAATTTTTGATGGGATATTTGTGCTTAAATGGTTGATTTAAAGTGGATCTTTGATAATTGGAATTATTGGGTTTGAGAATTAAAGAGACGTAAAAAGTGAGTTTTAGCGCATAAATTATTCTTGGATGTTCTAATGTTTATTTGTGCAGCTGGAATTAAAACTTTATTGGTCCAAATTGCAAATTAAGGCTCAAAATCAGATTTTATTTGATAAATAATGTACATATGGGCAAAACAGGCAGTCTTTACCCTTGCACCTCCTAAAATCCCTACATACACTCCTATTTCTGAAACAGGCCAACAACCAAGCTCATACACTAAGCCTTTTGTCCTGCAACCCCTAAGTTTCCTGTTCCTACCCCTCCTAAGCCAAATTCCACCAGATTCTGCCACGTGTCCAAATCCTCTACACACAGATCTAACCATTAAGAAGTTGCCACGTCATTAATCCTTTGCACACCAAATAGACCAACCACATGTTGCCACATCATTCCCCTCTACCACATCATCATCTTCTCCCAGAAACCCTAATTCCCAAATCCAAACCCTAGGTCATGCACAGCCGCCGTCGCACCGCCACCTTCTTCCACAACCAATCACCATCACCGTCGCGCACCACGCCGCTATCCTCCATGGCAGCCACCGCATGCTGCACACCACCTTGCTGCGCCACCGTCCATCACACACGGCCACCATCATCTTCCTCGTCGAGCCGCCGCCGCAAGGACCGTCATCAAAACAAAAAAGCGCGACCTCCATGGCCACCGCGATACCACCATCAACACGTCGTTGCAGAGCCTCGCTGGCAGTCATCACCACAACTCTCACCGACCACCATGAACGTCCAGAAACTCCTTATGCTGCCAACTCCATGACGCCGTTAATCACCACCGCCAATTTTCACCTACGCTACGTCGCAAGAATCTTCAAGTGGCACCATCATCTCGCGAGTTCCATCTCCACAACACCACCATAGTTTCGCATCTCGACCACCATCGCACTTCCATCAAACAGAGGCGATTTCAAACCTCCATCCACCATCACCGTAGCACCATGGGAACCTGCATCAAAGCCAAACCTGCATTCAGAAAACCCAGAGACAGAAGCATTATCACCACCGCGAAGGCTGTTGCGTGAGTTAATTTGTGCACCATCTCCCTTTTGCGGCGTGGAAGCAGGAACAATTTTCCCCAATCTGCAGAACCCTAATTTTGGGTGGAAAGGGAGCGGACACGAGGAAGCACCTCATTGGCCGCGTCTCCCCCTCAGTCAAAGTCAGTCAACAAGTTTCCTCTGGTCAAAGCTGGTCAAACAGAGGCCTTTGTGCAATTTTGGAGAATGCTGAAGGGGCTAAAGCACAGATAGGGGAAATTTTAGGACATTTGTGCAATTTTGGAAATTCAGAAAAGCTAAAAGATAAAATTCAGTTGTTGAATTAATTTAATTTAGGAATATCAACAAAAAATATCTTCCAAATAATGTTATAATTATCTAAATCTTTTAGTTATTTGGAAGATATAAGATAAAAGATTCTGTCAACTGAATATTTAGAGTCCAAGCCCAATCAAGCCCTATATAAAGAGACCCAGGGGAGGCAGAAAAGGTACTGAACTTCATTCATTCATTCACCACTTCTCTCTCTTATTTCATCTTGTATTCAACTCCATTCATGGAGAGCTAAGCATCTAGGGCTATTCTGCTGTAATTCCATTATGGATTCTGATGTTAGATTGAGTTAATGCAATTGTTTATTTTGATTATTGATTTAAGTTGTTCTCTTTCTATGTCTTTCATCTCTCTATCAAATTAAAAGCAAAGATTTTTGCATCATAATGTGTTTGAATCTACATTATATGAGTTTTAGGGTTTCTAGGTTTAATTGAGAATATACTTTGATTTAATTTTGGAACTTTCATATGATTAAATGGTTTTTACTATCAATTGAGAATGTACTTTGATTGGTAGTAATAATTTCAACTATAATCAATTGAGAATTTACTTTGATTGATTAGTTTTTAATTTGGTTAGGCGATTTAAGAATAGACATGATTAAACACAATAGAATTTGATTGAGAATGTACTTTGGTTGAATTCATTGTGAATAATCTAGAAAGGTTTTGCATTTGATTGAGAATTTACTTTGGTTAAGTGCATGATCGCCCTCAAATTAATTAAGAATGTACTTTAATTAATTTGAAACTTAAAATAATAATCAATTGAACAATTATCTGTGAATAACCGTTGATGAATCTATCTTGGAAAAGCAGTGGAATTAGCCTATTTCATTATAATCGTTTTTAAGTTTCTTATTTGTTTTTTAAACCTTCTTGAAACATCATTTTTATTCTTGAACATTGCATTGCATTCATAAGATTCAAATATTAAAAGGTAATTCTGTGTTCGTTGGGAGACGACTCAAGGTTACTTTAACCCTATCTACTTTCTTGAATACTACTTGGCAATACTGAAGTTGCCTTGAAAAGTAGTATTAATTTGATAGCTTCAACGACAACCTATCACTCTGCCACCTCATGGCACGTGGTGTTATATCATCGTAAGAAGTCACCAACCGCCTTCTTCCCATGCTAGGGAAATGTTCGTATATCCAATTGTAAAAAAATAATTATTCAATTAAATTTCATTCATCTTCGAGCATGGAAATAAATACATGAAATAAATGTCAAAGTTAAAACTGTACTTGAAATAGAGTTAAATATCGGGCCATCTGCTTCGTGGAGGCGAGACTCGCATCCCCGAGATGCTCGTACAAATGGGCGAGTGCAGCAATGCCCCAAGCATATTTGCCACACACGATACGTCTCTAAATAACAATAAGTAAGACACACGTATAGAATTGGAACTCTTATTTGCAAAAATTGTGCATCCTACTAGATGCAACAAATATGCTATAACAGCATAGTCCCAATGTTGCGACTCACCTCTGAACATATATCTCTCTAAGCCAGTTGAGTTAGACTTTCGGACCACGTGCGTCCTCCATCTCAACACCAGTTATGCCACCATCAACACCGAGTAGCTGCATAAGGGTTGTACAAGCCTCCTCAAACTCCAGCTCCTCTAAATCACACATTTGTCCCATCACGGGTAGGTGAAGTAATGTCGAGACGTCATCAAGAGTAACCGACATCTCCCCTATAGGGAGATGGAAACTACTGGTCTCGAAATGCCACCTCTCTATGAATCCGAGGAGTGAGCCCTTATCAACGTAATCATAACAAATCAAACTTATTAAACTGGAATTCAACACAATGTGTTGAATTCCCTCGTGGCATGGTCCTAACTTATTTAATTTTTTCCGTGGGAGATCAACTTCAGTATGTCCCCTCGATCCTACACATCAATATTTAATAAAATTTCTATTAAAAAAACAATAAAATAAATTTTATTTTTGCACTCACTCGACCTTGTGAAATAACATAAGCTACATGTTGAACATAGTTCATTAGCAATGAACCATCACGTGAACCACGAGGAAATCCACCGACATCCTCCTGTATGTCATGAACATTCGCATGCTCCTCCTCATCGTCATCGTCGTCAGAGGCCTCAAATGCATCCTCCTGACCATGAGTCTCATACGCCTCATATGTCTGCTCCTCAAAGGCTCGCTCCTCAACTATAGGGTCATCTTGGATAGGAGCTGCACGACTTCTACAAGAAGAAACAGTAGGTCTTCTCCGAGCTTCACTCTGCGCCGAACTCTCTCCTCGAGAACTCTTTCCTTGAGAACTCTCACTTCGAGAACTAAAAGATGCACCACGTGTTCTTGCCATTTCTAACAAAAATTTAATTGTTTCACTTCAAAAATTAAAATAATTATTGTTTTAAATATCATTAATAAATTATAAAAAAATACAATTCAAAATAAATTAAACTAATAATAATTAATTTATTAACTACAACAAAAATTAAATAAAATAAACAATTAGCTAATTAATTCAAAAAAATATTTAAATACATTTCCATTTAATTATTATTAAATTAATTATTATTACAAATACAAATTTACTATAAATAAATTAAATACAAATACAAATTTACTAACATTAACTAGAATTAAATTAATAATATTGATTTCAACAAATAAAAATAATTTAAATATATAAAAAAATTACGTAACTAATTCAAACTTAATCAATTCATTTAAAAGCTACAAATAGAAAAATTTATAAAATATTAAAATAATAATCTAAAACGTCAAAGAAAATCTAAAAATGTATCAAATATATATATATATATATATATATATATATATATATCAAATATTACTGTTTAAAAAAAATTAAGAAAAAATATATCAAATATATATATTTCAAATATAAATTCTAAAAAAAATTAAAATTTTAAAGAAAAAAAATACAACACCCTGAGAGCCAAAACAAATATGGATATCGGATTGGCCTTCAACGGATATTCCACATATGTCGACGGAAGTCGGACATCCGTGGAAGGCCAAACAGATATCTCACATCCGCTTTGGCCTTTTGCGGGTTTTGTTCAGGCGAGAAACAATCGAACAATCTTGGCGATAAGCAGCGGCACAACAATCCAACACAGATTCAAAGCACATAAACAATAATAAACCCTAAATTAAACTACAAAAATGGTGAGCAGAGAACCAACCTGGACAACCACAACAAAGATCCACGCTCCTCCACACCAGATGAACGGGCTCCTCAACACCAGATATGAATGAACTCCTTCACACCAAAAATGAACGATAATGGAAGCTTTGAAACCCAAAAGGAAAATGAAGAAGAAAGAAATGGAGGAGGGAAAGTAAAACAGAGAAGATAACCGTGATATTGAGGTTGTAAAGTGAAATGAAAATGGGAAGAGGGATTGTTAAACAAAAATGGGAGAAATGGAAAGATTAGGTGTAGGGAAAATAAAGAAGAAAAACTAGATTTCAAATAAATTAAAATAGTAAAATAGTAAAAAGGAAAATTTTTAACCAAGAGATAGAATTAGAATTAAAGAAAATTGGAGAGATCGAGGGAAAGTGGTGGAGGGAGCAAAACCCCACTTCTTTAGGTCTTTCGGAACCCAAGCCCATTTAAAGAAATCCGTTAACCCCATCACAAAATTCAAATTCAAACTCAAGTCTCTCCCTCGCTCTTTCCATTCCACTCCAGCCCATCACCTCCACACCACCGTCACCGTCTCCACTATGTCGTCGTTAACCGTCGCCGATTCTGACACTCCCCCCTCACTCACCTTGACACCATCGAAGACCCCGTCGTCGAAGGCGAGGAGCCGGCGGAGCCAGGCGGAGTCGAAGTCTCGGTTCGAGGCGTACAACCGGCTACAGGCCGCGGCTGTGGCATTCAGCGAGACGATGCCGATCCCGGAGATCGTGGCGGTCGGGGGCCAGTCAGACGGGAAGAGCTCGCTCTTGGAGGCGCTCCTCGGGTTCCGATTCAACGTGCGCGAGGTCGAGATGGGCACTCGCAGACCCCTCATACTCCAGATGGTTCACGACGCCTCCGCCCTCGAACCCCGATGCCGCTTTCAGGTTTTCAATTTATGAATGATATAATACATTCCAAGAATGATATAATACATTCCATTTTATTCTTTCTCATTCTATCAATCCAAGCATAATCTAAGGTATCCTATTTGATTCCTAACTTCAACAATTATCAGTCAATTTGGTAATAAAACTTTAAAAAAAAAATATTGCAGCATGTTGCATTTCAAAATATGTCTGCTAAACACTCACAAAGGTAGGTTTTGGTGACCAAAAGAGAATGGAATATATCACGAGTTTTGTATAATGTGTAATGTACATCAAAATAAAATCAGATCACGAGATTAAAAAGTGATAAGATTTTACTTTCATTAAAAGTGCAAAACTAAGAAGAAAAAATTAAATTGGGTTCTTCTATTTTGTATTGTTTATATGCCGCCAAGATAGGTTCGGGTTGATTGGTTCTAATCTTTGACTCTTTGAAAAGGCATAACAGAGATTGGTTGAGATTAAATTAAAATTGGTTAGGTGTTTGATTCATAGTTTGACCATTGAGCAGCATTGGTTTTGAATTTAAATTTTTTGTTTGTTTTGCCAATATGTTTTATTCTCGATTATTGGAAAAACAGGAGGAGGATTCAGAAGAGTATGGAAGTCCCTTAGTTTTGTCATCTGCGATTGCTGACGTTATAAAGTCCAGAACTGACGCACTTTTGAAGAAAACCAAGGCAGCAGTCTCTTCTAAGCCAATTGTAATGAGAGCCGAGTATGCACATTGTCCTAACCTTACTATTATTGACACACCTGGGTTTGTTCTTAAGGTGAGTTCTTGGAATTCTTGACCTGTGAGAATTGAAGGTTTGGCATTTATGCTTGCTGGATTGTATTTATGAGAACTCATCTGACACTGCAGGCAAAGAAGGGTGAGCCAGAGAACACACCCGATGAAATCCTTTCCATGGTGAAGTCCTTGGCTAGTCCTCCTCATCGCATTCTCTTGTTCCTTCAGCAAAGTAGCGTTGAGTGGTGCTCCTCATTGTGGTTGGATGCCATTCGCGAAATTGACCCAACATATAGACGGACAGTGATTGTTGTCTCCAAATTTGATAATCGTCTAAAGGTATGGACAAAACCTTTTTATTGCAACAGTAAAAGTTTGACAAGTCTATTTGATTTGTTGGTTGGCAAAAATGGTTAGAAGAGAGATTTTATGTTTAATGTTATTCCTGAGAGTTTAGTATTTTTTTGAATGTGATCCATGTAGTCGTTTTCACGTAATGGGATAAGACTTTTCTGGTTGTATTTCTTTGGTTCGGGACTTAATGAATCTCACTACTCATCAAGTTATGACAGGAAAGGAAAATAAACTGTTATTATGTAATCAACAACCGTTGTATATATCTTGAGGTTCATGGTCAGGGATGAGAACGAGTCGAGTATGGATCGACCCGTAAACTGAATCCTTCTCCACCCACAATCCTTTTCCAACATGGGTACCGTTTCAAAAAAATCGTCAAATATTTTAAAATACCGGCAAATATTACAAAATATATCTTATAAATTTTTAAAATAAAATTATAAAAGAATATATAAAATTTAATATAAATAAAATAAAATATAAACTAAAATATAATTTTAATTAAATTTAATCTAATAAAATATAAATTAAATTTTATTTTAAATTAAATTAAATAATATATAAATTAAATTATTACTTTTATTTTTTGTGGATGAATCGATGATAATATAATACCCGACCTATTTATCAGTGTATTAAAATATTCGCTGCATGCCATCCGCATATAGTAAATAGCCGTAGGTATGAACTATTACGCGTGCAAATATTTTTACCATCCATGATATTTTCATGATATTGCCATTAGGCTGCATAAGCATGGATTTTAATTGTGATTGCAGTTGTGGGAATGCAGTCAACCGTAACGGCCACTTGATGTTGTTGTAGTAGTGGCAGCCACTGAGATGTTTCATCCTTCATCACACCATAGTTTGATGTATATAATGGTTACATAGTACGCTGTATTTTTAGAGACTGGTTTTAATGATCAGCTTTCCAATGCTTGCAGGAATTTAGTGACCGGTGGGAAGTGGATCGCTATTTGAGTGCGAGTGGTTACCTTGGAGATAGCACTCACCCCTTTTTTGTGGCACTTCCAAAGGATAGGGGTAGTGTTTCAAACGATGAGTTCCGGAGGCAGATTTCTCAGGTGGACTCAGAGGTTGTTCGTCATCTGCGTGAGGGTGTAAAGGGAGGTTTCGATGAAGAAAAATTCAAATCCTATATTGGCTTTGGCCGTTTGAGAGATTATTTGGAGTCGGAGCTTCAGAAGAAATACAAAGAAGCCGCCCCAGCAACGCTTGCTTTGCTAGAACAACGCTGCAGTGAAGTGACTTCTGAACTTGCTAGAATGGATTCGAAAATACAGGCCACCTCAGATGTTTCCCATCTCAGGAAATTTGCAATGATGCATGTGGCTTCTATCAGCAACCATGTGGTGGGTAATGATTATGTCTAATAGTTTAGCTAGGCATGAACTTATGTTGATGAACTAAATTAACAATTAGTATTGGACCTTTTCTTTTTTTGTGATAGCACTTATCTATTTGAAACTTTTCTTCATTGATGGCGTAACAAGTTTCTTCGCGTTTTCATTTGTTTTCTTCTGATGGAACGTATGAATAATGGTTTATATTGCATTACAACCTTTAACTTTGGACACTGGTTTAAAGTAAACTATAGGCATGTAGCTTCTTTGCACACAAATGACCTGCAATATTAAGCAATTTGTTAGAAAATGGTTTCAAGGATTACGGACGTTTATTTGAAGTTAATAACCATTTCTTTTGCACTTGTCCAGGGTGCATTGATCGATGGTGCTGCAGATCCTTCCCCTGAGCAGTGGGGGAAAACAACAGTAGAAGAGAGGTCACAAAGTGGTATTGGGGTTTGGCCTGGTGTCATTGCCTCTGTAAATCCTCCCAATGCTACTCTTCGTCTTTATGGAGGAGCTGCATTTGAGAGGGTGATGCATGAATTTCGCTGTGCAGCTTATTCCATAGAATGCCCCTCAGTGTCAAGGGAGAAGGTGATTTACTTTTCATAAACGTGTGCGGAATATCTGGCTTTATCATTCAATTTTCAACTTCGAATTCTTAGGTAACTTTTATAACAGGTTGCAAATATATTACTCGCCCACGCTGGTCGAGGTGGGGGAAGAGCAAGAACAGAGGCTGCCGCAGAGATTGCTCGAGCGGCTGCTAAATCATGGCTTGCTCCTCTTCTTG